TTTTTTTTTTTTTTTTTCGTTCGTTCGTTTGTTTGTTTGTTTCTAATCGTCGTTCTCGTCGTTACTTGTTTGCCTTCTATTATTATTATTATTATTAGTTTTTTTTGTAAGTAGGTGAAAAAAAAAAAAAAAATTCTTTGGTGATGAATGATTCGTGTCCCCCCGTTGAACGAAAGAAATATTCGAAATATGGAAAATGAAAGAAATTTTTTCTCTTTTTTCTTTTCTTTTTCGGTTGTTAATTTAATTACGTTTGTTGTTGTTAATTTAAAATTGTTGTTTGTTGTTGTTGTTTTCGTTGTCGTCATTGTCGGTCGTCTGCGAATTAAAATTATTATGAATTTCTTTCGATGCACAAAACGAAAGTTTACAATCGAATTTTACGTACGATTCTTAATGAGTGTGAGTGAGAGAGAGAGAGATGGGGGGAGAGGGAGTGAGTGAGAGAGAGAGAGAGAGACGAAAGAAACGAAATTCAAGTTTATATTTTTAACTTTGTCGATTGTTTATTCATAGAATTTGTTTCTTAGTTTTTTTTTTCTTTTTGTGTGGAATAAAAGACACAAAAAAAAACTAAAAACTAAAAACATGGCTTCTTCACTTTATTTATTATTTTTTACGGTTTTAAAAGTTGAAATTATTATCATTATCATCATCATCATCATCATCATGTTGTATTTAAAAATATAATGAATCTTGTTGATGGTGCTAAAGAACGAACGTTGCGCGTGGGCACATCATTTATTTATTTTTTTTTTTTTATTAAAAAACGGTAAAATTAAAATTTATTGGTTTAGAAACCTTTTTTTTTTTTGGGGGGGGGAGGGGGAATCCGTTAGAAAATTTAATGCGATACATACAAATTTAATAGCCGAAATAAAACGCGAAAAATAAGAACAAGAACAACGACGAGAAAGAGAGAGATAGAGAGAGAGAGAGAGAGAAAAGGGGGTTTTTCCGAAAGGCATTTTCGTAAAAAAAAAAAAAAAAAAAAGGCGAGAGAGAGAGAGAGAGAGAGAGGGGGTAGAAAATAAGAGGCAATAAGATAAAATAGAAGGG